TTTTTTTTTTTTAGTGCAGCTAAGGTAATATTGTGGCATCAGCAGCTCTGAGCGAGCAGCGAACAACAGCAGCAGAAGCAAGGCTGGTGGGGCAGAGCTCGTACATGGTTAGGGTACCCGAGGGCTTGTCCCACAAAGGTGTGCTCTTGCTGGGTGTGCAGGACAGGATGCCACCATGAAGCCCTCGGTGACCATTTCATATGTGTCATTTATTTCAGTTTCAAAACTCTGAATGAGTGTGTAAAGCCCTGTAGCTTTGGGATGGCTAAATCTCACCTGACCAAAGGCCATGGGAGGAGACGTGTGATTACTCAAAAGATCTTCTCCTTTTTTTCTTCTATTTTTAAGTCTTTTCTCCATTACTGGTCCCTAATTACCACTTTGTATGACAGGGAATTAGAGCAAGGGAGAAGTCCCCCCTCTTTTCTAAGCTTAAACAATCAGAATTCAACCCCAAATTTGTAAGGATGTTTGAAACAATTGTGCTTGCAAGAATATTTACTGTAACTATCTACCCAGAAAGGCAATTTAAACAACCTTCCTCTTTGCTCGCGTTTGGAAGTAGCCTGCAATGTGGAAATAATTTTGGTCTCTAAAGCCTAAAGAAGTAGGCCTTTTGTTTCCCTCACTTAAATGGGAATTTATCTCAGAAATTAAGATCAGTCTGTCAGGGCCATAAAAGCTCTGCCATATGACAAATTTTGCATTACACTTTCCTTAAATTATATACTCGCTGCATCACTTGCTGTGTGTGTGTCTGTTAGCTTCTGATTCTGTACTGGCATTCTGTAATCTCTTGCTTCATTCTTACAAATAATAATTTTATTAAAAGCATACACATATGTGTACATATATATATATATATATATATATATATATATATTCTTTTCCCAGCCAAAAGAACGGAGTTGTACACCGAGAAATTTGGAGTTCAAACTCAGAAGATCCTCCAGCATCGAATTACTGAATAACTTAGACACTGAATCCAAAGAACCAAAGCCTGAACACAGAAAATCTTTAAGTAAGGCTTTTTTTCTTTTCTGATTTTTTTCTTCTTTTTTTTTTTTTTTCTTCTGTCCTTTTTAAATGACTATGCCATTACAGGGTAAGATAATTTTTATTACATACAGAATGTAAGGAAGATCACTGAGAATTTTAAAGCTGAATGTGTTCTGGGCTGATATACATAACTTGCATTTAAGTAAAGACAGTTACTAGCTCCACACTTCTAAAGGGTGACATTCTCTCCTAAGCAAAATAAATTTGTTTAGGAGCAAAGACATTTATTCAAGCCATTTATTTTTAAAAATAAGCAACATGAGTCCTATGTTAATGGTCTGTTGCAGTTGCTTTGTTTCCATTTTAGTAAAATACCTCAAATTGCCAGAGTAATTTTGTCTGTTGTATATTTATACACTGAATGGCTGAAAGACCTGACATATCCTCTGTAGCCAACAATCACTGATGTATCTATAATTTTATAGAAGGTAAATTCCAGGGATCGAGGTTGATTTTTGTCAGTGTGATTAGAAAAGAAAGTGATCTAAGACTAGCAGGGATGTGCTTTACTCCACTGAGGCTTTCCTTTTCCAGCTTGTGCCGAGATGCTCATGATATTGTGGGCAGTAGATGCAGGAGCTGGTGGTGACCCTGAATCACTGGCTCAGCATTTTTTTAATTCCACCCCTCTCTTGAATCTTTGTGTTTCTTCTTTGTTTGGCAGAAGATTCACATACTGCTCCTAATGTAAGCGCCGTGACAGCTTTAGACTCACATGCTGGTAGGAGATACCTATAGGTACCGAAGTGCTGTGTAGGAATTTGCCTGCACGTATTTCAGTGCAGGATCAAAGCCTTAGATGTTAAAAAAAAAAAAAAAAAAAGAGAGTTGCATTAAAAAGACCCAACATAGCTATTTTTAATCCTAATTATCCACACAACCATAAATACATGCACACATGCATGCGCGCATACACACACAAATACAGATTCATTAAATAGTCTCTTTTTGCAGACCAAAGCTTTTTGTTGTTGTTGTTTTCCTATTATCTTGGAGATTTGGGGTGGGTTTTTTTAAGGTTTTTCTTTCTGTTATAAAGTAGCCTGAATGTAGCTTGTGAAAAATTGTCCCAATATCTTTGTATTGTGTGTAGCATTTCTCAGAGGAAGAAAAATAATGCTGAGAGCATGGTAAATTTTGAGGGTCTAATTCTGCTCTTATTGTAGCTAATAGTAAAATACCCACAAACTGTCTCAGCACTCAGGGAATTTTTATTTATTTATTTAGACTTCTCACATATCTTTAAATGATAATTTGTCAGACAAAACAGAAAAAAAGTGAATATGAGCAGTGACAGAGACTTAGCCTACATTTCTTTTCAGACCTTAGAGCATCCTGAATAACCTCCGTTTTGTTAAATGCTGTTTAAACTATTGAAAAATGTGAAAATATCTGCTGTGAAATCTCACCGAACTGAAGCTTGCGTTTAACTACTGTAGATTAGATTGCTTCTAAAATATGTATTCAGAACTTTTTTTGGCCCCTTGAGATCAAGCAATTATGTGGAATTAGAAAAATCATATTATTCACTTACTTATTAGTAGTCTAAGCACAAACTGTATTGTCAGTTTTCTGCCTTTGGCTTTCTGTGCCCTTAATGTTCACACAAGTATCGTAGCCAGAATTATCGGCAGCTAGAGCCAAAATTGCTTTAAAAAGGCATGAGAACTGGTAATGACACATTGTTAGCAGTTAACAGGTGGTCGTTTCATTGTCCAGTTTGACTGCAGAGCACAGAGAAGATATGTGCAATATCTGCAAGTGTGTTTATAAAGTTCTTAAAAAGTTTAACAATTTTATAATTTTACAGTGCTCTTATATAATTGACTACTGCCAATGTCAAATCCAAACAAAGGGGATTTTTTAAAAAATGGCTTAAAACTTCTCCGGTTAAACATGGAAATGAGCAACTGATACGTTAGCAGGCCACCACCCCCACCCCTTAATAGTCTTTAATGAAATATTCAGACAGTTCAGCCTCGTTTGTATTTACCTTCCCTACATTTTAAGGGCTGAAAAAAATGTCCAGTATTAGATGGTACTGCTGTGTCATTGGGGGGGG